GAGACTCCTTATAGCATCGGTCCACGCCCCGGTGGCCACTTCGCCCCATCGTGAAGAGTGGTGGCGACACTTTGGCCAGCACATCGACAGGCTGTGCCGAGGTTGCGAGGTCCTGATTCTTGGGGATCTCAATATGCATTTCTCCCATAGCATTGCGGGCACCATAGGAGACCTCGTTTTCCCTACGAAGTATCCTGCTTCACCGGCCCTACTGCAGCTCCTAGCCAGGCACCAGTTGTGGATTCCGTCTACCTTTGAGCAGTGCCACCCGGGGGCAAATGCTACTTGGTGGCCTCCAACAGGCGCCCCTGGCAATAGGTTAGACTATGTCCTTGTCCCGCGGACATGGACGGTCCCAGACGGGGGCTCTGAGGTCTTCACCTCTCTCGATTGGGGGCAAGGAAGAGTAGACCACTTTGCGGTACGAACCTACGTCAACTTCAGTGGCGTAGGGCACAAGGTCAGCCGAGATCCCAAAGTCGCGTTTGATCGTGATGCCATGCTTTCCGAGGAGGGGCGAGAGACTCTCAAAGCAATTTTTGAGGCCACTCCTCAGCCACCGTGGCAGATGAATGTCCACGACCATTACGCTGCCATACAACAACATCTTGTTACTGCAATGGGCACAGCGTTTCCTCCTGCCAAGCGTCAGTGCAGAACTTCGTACTTCAGCCCGTTCACATGGCAGCTTCGGCAGAAACGAGTTTGGCTTCGCAAGCAGCTTGTTAGGTGGCACAAAACGTGTGGACTTGTGAACGTTCACAGTGCGTGGATCTGCTTGAAACGGCGGACTCGCCTGACAGCCTCACGTATAGCTGTGGTTCTTCGGCAGGGCCAGCAAATTAGGTCTGCTGCTCAACATGTCCTTGAGCTCCAAGGTACCAAGAAGCTTCTTCGGAGATCCATACGTACCGACATGCTCACTCGCATAGAGGACACTGCTGCTACAGCCGCCAGTAGCAGCACAGGAGATGTGGTATCCCGACTCCAAAGCCTTCTCGGGCCCCCAGCCAGGAAGAACCGAGGACCCAGACACCTGCCTGGGCTTAAGGGCAAGGATGGCAATGTGATAGACGACCCCCGCAAGATTGAACAGGCGTGGGTTGACCATTTTTCTGGTATAGAGGGCGGGGTCACCAAGACCCCGCTTGACATAACAAAGGATTGTCTTGCGACACAGCAGGATCGGGATCTTGAAGGCCTCTCGATCCTGGCCGAAGACGTCCCAACCAGAGTTGAACTGGAAGCTGCCTTCCGTGACACCATGCTCCATAGGGCTTTTGGCATCGACGGCATTCCAGCCGAAGCGTTGCATGCTACTCCGGCTGCAGCAGCTGCTGCCTTCTTCCCCGTTATCATGAAATGCGCACTTCGTGTTGAAGAACCCATACAGTTTAAGGGAGGTTCGCTTTACGCGATCTGGAAGGGGAAATCTTCCCCGAGCACATGCAGCGCCTATCGCGGCATACTTGTGTCGTCGAATGTAGGAAAAGCGTACCACAAAATTTTGCGCACCCGCAATGTGGGGGCTTTAGAAGCTGCGGCCACACCGCTCCAAATAGGCGGGCTACCTCGACGCCCAGTTACGTTAGCCGCGCAGGTAGTCAGGTTGCACCAAGCATGCAGCCATGACGCTGGCCTCTCACATGCTGTGGTTTTCCTTGATCTGCGTGAAGCCTTTTACCGCATAGTCAGGCCTCTTGTTACAGGCTTCCAAGGATCCGATGAGGAAATTGCCCATATCCTTGCTTCGGTGTCTTTGCCGCATGGCGTGATGCATGACTTGAAGGCGCACTTGGAGTCTACCTCTCTTTTCGAGCAGGCTGGTTCGTCAGCCTGGACTGCGGCTGCAACGTGTGAGGCGCTACAGCACACTTGGTTTCGTTTCGAACAAGGCGAGCTCGTTACGGAGACTGGTGTCGGAACCCGTCCAGGGGACAACCTGGCGGACCTGATCTTCAGCTTTGTTTTCGCCCGGGTTCTCCAACAAGTTAGGGCCAGTGTCGAGGCCACGTGTGGGCTTGTCCAGATACCATGGCACCCGACGATGATGGCCAATGTACTTCATCCGATGGAAGCCCCCACTTCTGTGCTTTCTCTATTAGACTGCACTTGGATGGACGACTCAGCGCTGGTCATACAGGCCAATAATGCCTCTGCATTGGCCGAACAAGTAGCGTCTACGACAGGAGCCCTATTAGACAGCTGTTTGGGACGAGCGCTTTTGCCCAACCTCGACAAGGGCAAAACCGAAGCAGTGGTTACGGCTGTTGGCCCGGGCTCTCGTAAGTGCCGAGCGCACATGTTCCAGGCAGACCCACCCACGATACAGGTTGATAGTGCCTTATGGCCTCAGGCTGAAATACGTTTGGTTGCTGAGTATAGGCATCTAGGTGGGGTCGTGCATCATTCTGGTACCATGACGCGTGAGGTCAAACATAGGGCTGCCATGGCCTGGGCCGCCTTTAACAAAAGACGGAAGAAAATTTTTGCCTCGCCGATAGTGCGCCAATCCGACAAAGCCACTTTGTTTGAGTCCCTTGTACTTTCGGTCTTGTTGTTTGGTGCGGGTACGTGGGGCACACTGCCTCGACAGGACCTTGCTGTCATAGCCACCGCATACCACCACATGGCTGCCTCCATGCTCCGACCTAGATATAAAGTCGAGGAAGCCAGACATCTAGGCCCCGGCCGGATTCTTGCTCTAGCAGGTTTGCCAGGCATTGATACCCTCCTTCATATGGCACGCCTGCGACATCTCCAATCTTGCGTCAAGGTCGCGGCACCTGAGTTCTGGGCTCTGGTCCACCAAGAGCAGCACTGGTTGCGAGCTGTGCGGTCTTCCCTTAGTTGGCTCTGGGAATTGGAGAGGCCAGCTGCAGACGCCTCCTGCTGGGAGGACCAATGGCCTGGTTGGATGGGCCTCATGTGTGCCCAACCAGGTGTGTGGAAACGGATGCTTAAGAGGACCCAGGCTAGAGCCATGCGCCGTGAATCCTGGGATTCTGCCCGCGGATACCACAGGGGCCTCCTCGGCCGGCAATTACGTCTATCCGGGGGAGCACTTATCTCGGATGCTGCCAGTGCGACTGAGTGTGGATTTTTCTGTGGCCCGTGTGGCAAGATTTTTCACAGCAAACAGCAATGGGCTGTCCACGCGTTTAAGACACATGGGCGCCGCACTATTGGACGAGGAGTCTTAACCGGACGGCAGTGTCAGGCATGCCTCAAGCATTTTGGCACGAACTTGAAGCTATGTAAGCATATAGCTTATAGCACCGCGTGCAGACATCGCCTTTGTGCTTCTGGATATAGTTGCCCGGCTGAGCCGGGGCAAGGCAGCACCCGTGCCGAAGACCAAGGGGCGTGCCAGGCCCCTGTTCTTCAGGCCCAGGGGCCCCCTTGCCATCTCAGTGACCTACCATGGGTAGACGAACCAGAACGCCCCATAGCCGAAGTCATGGACTGCCTCGATCAAGTAGGCTATGACCTTGGGAAGGGTACAGACGCGCAGTTATGGCAGCGTTTGCGTGCAGCCTTCTCCTGTGTTTGCGCTGATACTGACCGGCTAAGACTTACAGCGACGCATTACCGTGACTCGTTGCCGGTCCGGCGACATGAGCCAGCTCTGTCGCGTCGTTTGCATGATGCACTTGGGTGGATTGCCAAGGCCGACCTGACTGATTGGCTAGTTCCCAGCCCAGCGCTTGATGAGACACAGCCTGCCACTTTTCGTGATGGCGATGAAATCCTGCGGAACCTTGAAGTATCCGATATTGCCCTCCCACCTGCTCGATCTGTCGAGCCGAAACCGGTTTGGGTTTTTGTTGGCCCTGCGGACTGGTGTGCCATCAAGGAAAGAGAGAATCCTAACTCAGTATCCTACACCTTGGATGAATGTGTTGCTGATATTGATAGAGGGAATCCCCCTACTCTCTTTGATGGACCCTTCAGCTCCGTTCGTTTCGAGATCAATGTTGGGGAGTGGCGTGGATTTCTGACTCCTCCTGCGTTTAGTGGCCCCTTGAAGGCTTTCAAGGCTCTCCTGGTTTATGAAACCTTTTGCAGCGACCTTGTACGCTTCGCCCTCAAGCTGTGGGGTCTAGGCGTACATGCTCGATTGTGGCATTCCTTCGAATCCCGCAGTGCCCTACATCCGCTACCAGACATCGGGGCAGTCGAGCACGGCACCGCGGAAGGCAGGGGTTTCTTGGTGCGTCGTCGTGCGCCCAGGGAATGAGCCTCTTTCGTTTCACCTAAATTAGATGCTCAAAGGGCTGCACCCAATCCGGAGTCAACGCCCGAAAGACGTGAAGACGTGAATGTATACATATGTATTTTCTTAATTATTTATTGCTTATTTCTAGATAGATAGATGGAGAGATAGATAGATAGGTAGAATATATATATATATATAGAGAGAGAGAGAGAGAGAACCCTGTGCGGAGTAGGATCCTTGTTGTAAGGACCCTAAAACCTGAAACAGGACACCCCCACATAAGTAACACTCTTCCTGTCTTTGGGCCAGGTACTTTTCTGCAGAGAGAGGATCGCTGATGACCTGGAGGCATGGCTTGGGGTTTAGTTTGCGCATCAGAGTTGAGGGTTCAGGGATCAGGGTTAAGGGTTCAGGGTTGAGGGTTAAGGGTCTATGGCACTTAGGGTTCCAGGGTTTGGGATCTAGGGTTTCAGGGTTTTGGGTTGATTGCGCAAGACTCAATGGCTCCATGATGGGGAGGTACTTCCGGTTCCCAAGATTTAGCAACCGTGGGTTTAAATGTAGGATTAGGGTTTACGGTTTACGACCCAGAATGTAGGCAGTGTAGAGTGTAAGTCTACATGTTTGGAAGCTCGAAAACGATCCCAAACTCGTCTTCCTATGCCCTCCCAACACTCAGACATAATGGGGGTTTCCGAAAACAGGGGATCCTTATTATGACGAGCCCTAAATAAGGTACCCCCTATTTTCTAAATTCCCCAAATGGCCTATCACAGGTTCGATGCACATGGCCATGGAGACGGTAACCTGCAACAGAGCTATCAGCGCGGCCGGCAGAAGAATGGACTGGCCTTTGGACCGAACTTTAAAGACTTCGACAGAGTTTGGGGTTTAGGGTTTGCGGGTCTAGGATTTAGGGTTCAACTTCGCGGTTAAGGGTTAGAGGTTGTGGGTTTATTAATATAGGGGCCTAAGTAATTAGAATAGGGTTTGGGGTATATTCTACTATAATCATAATACCCTAAACCCTAAACCCTAAACCCTCTTTAATAAGGAACCCCAAAACCCCAGTCTAATTATTAAGGCCCCTACATCAGGGTTAAGGTGTAGAGCAAGGTGAGCGCCTGTTGCTTGAAGCCGCGAGATACTGTTGATGATGTTAAATCCTGCATTACCTTAAAGGACCCTAAACTATGCGAATTATGGTATATTCCTGAGTAAGGACCCTAAACTATGGGAACTATGGTATATTCCTTACTTGTTAAGGACCCCAAACTATGGCAATTATGGTATATTCCTTATTAAGGACCCTAAACTATGGGAATTATGGTATATTCCTTATTAAGGACCCAAAAATATGGGAATTATGGTATATTCCTTATTGTGGGTCATGCAGGATTTATATCATCAACCGTATGATAGCCAATGGCATCTTCGAGACAGCAGAGTTTGTGCCAGTGCTTGTCCTTTTAGCACCCTTCAGCTAGGGCCAAAAGCGTAAGAGTATGGCTGCCGGGGAGTCGCATGATTTTTCGTAGCTGAATAAAGGCGTAATGTAGGGGCCTAAATAATTACCAATATGATTCCTTAAGGGTTCCCTATTATATTAATAGAATTAAGGAGCCCAAAACGCTGTTCTAATGTGCAAGGCACTACATTATGGCTTCCTGGTCTAAATAGGCCTTTTATTCCCAAAGCCTACTGAGCCTGAACACCAACACCAACCTCCAACGGCTTAGGGTTTAGGGGTTTAGAGTTTTGGGTTTTGAAATTCCATCTCACATCTCCCAAACTCTGCAGCCCACCTCTAGCTCTTTCTTGCGTTCGATTTCGTCCAACCGTTCGACGCTCGCGCTCCGGCGCTTTTTGCCGCGGCCGTGGTGGCACCCAAGGGAGACAGCTCAGGGCGGACGGGGGTTGACGCCCTCGGAGGACAGCATGTTGCAGAAGATCAGCCGGACGAGAAAGCAACTGGCTGCAGGACAATACTATCTGGTGCTTAGTAGGGAATGGGGGAATGGGTTATAGGGACTACCATAAGGGACCTTAAGGGACTATCATAGGGATCCATTCCCCCATTCCCTACTAAGCACCAGACAGAATAACGACACCCGGGTCGTGGAGGCGGCTCCAACCACCAGCTTTGCCGGCAGCAGGATTGAAAGATGGAGCAGACAGATGCCGCCACAGCCAATGCAACATCCAGGGCGACATCTTCTGGCGCCTTTGCCAGCAAGAGCGAGGGTCCAGTCAATGCCTCTGTTCTCGCAAAAGCCCTGCTCGACACGCACGTGTCCAAACCGATCGAAGATGTCATCATGGACTCTGGTGAGGGGGCAACCATGAAGCGTGTGGCACCCTTCATGTCGACACAGTACAGGCAGTGGTGCCCCTCAAGACTTTCATGAAAACACGTGTCAAGCTTCCGATCACGTTACATAACGCCGTCAAGAACATCATCATGGAGTGGCGTATCTGGATGGATTCATAATAACATGAATAAGTAGACTGCCTGGACTGGGAAGCTTCCTGTAGCGCCCTTGGCTCACCACATTCTGGCGTTTGTTCGTTTTTTCATGAAGCTCGGATAGCCATGTAACCTTCAATCCTGTAAAGGGAACCAGTTCGGCATTTAGGGGACAGAGGTACAGGGGTGTTCCAGGGCTTTACAAGGACTGCTTCAATGTATGCAAAGGTGTTGTGTTGATAGATAGTAGCTGGAATTTGTGTTTTTTTTTGGAGGGGGGGGGTGATTGAGTTGTAGAGCGATTCCTCCAAGGCTTCGCTAAGCATTTACGGCAACGCCTTTCGCAAAATAGCTCCAGTCTGACCATTCAGGGGACGGTGGAATTAATCGAGGGCTGCGTTGTAGTGTAGGTCTTGGGCCTGAGAAATCTAGGTTAAAGCTTAAAACCCCAAATCATCAGCCTTCCACTCCACTTGCTAAAAGCGAAACCTGGTTCACGTTCAGAAATGAGGAGAGTCTTGCAAACGATGCCAAATGCGAGATCAACTGGTGGTTGTCCATAACAGCTTTAAGCAGGTTGGCTGAATAGAAAGAGTATCTTGATTAGGTGGCTTATTATAGCAAGAGCCTACTGTACCATTTAGAGTTTGCATTTTATCGTTTGGGGTTCTACATTAGGGTTTGGGCTTGGGGCATTCGGGGTTTACGACGGTTGTTCAAAATGCTTGTCCCCAACATAGTGTTCGCCTTTGGAGGAAGAGTCTGTCCCATGCCCCAACTTTCAAGCGGACGGATCTCTACAACAACACCAAGCCCGTAATCCTAAACTCTCAGCCCTAAACCCTAAGCTGCCATCCTTAACACTAAACCCGAAAACCCCCCAAACCCCCCTCTCCTTTAAAGGGACCCTTAGACACCCGAGTCTGAGGCTGCAGGCACTAGGGACGGTCTCGGAGATGCGCACGAAGGACGGGCTCGAGACTGTTTAGGGTTTTAAGGATACCTAGATGCTCCATTACATTGTTATGTGGCGTATATTTAGGATCCTACAAGGTCATCCCCAAAAGGAACTTCGATGGAGCCTATGGGTATAAACCCAAAAAGCCTGATATGCTGAGCCGCAAATACAATTACCATTACTATTCCTTGGTTCTGGGCTTAGGGTTTAAGGTTTAGGATTGCAACAGTTATCGCAGAATATGACCCAAATTTTCGAATGCTTAAGCCCCTAAACTCTGCACCCTAAACCCCTAAACTCTAAACCCTGAATCCTAAACCCTAAACTCTAAACCCTAAACTTCCCTAAACCGCTTCTATCTTACGTAAACCCGGAAACCCGAAGTTCCCAAGCCCCAGTCGCCTCTAAAGCCGACATCCGAAGCCCAACAGGGTTTAGGGGTTAGGGGTTTAGGGGCCTAAGGTTTAGGGTTTAGGGTTCAGGGTTTAGGGGTTAGGGGTTTAGGGGTTTAGGGTTTAGGGTTCAGGGTTTAGGGGTTTAGGGGCCTAAGGTTTAGGGTTCAGGGTTCAGGGTTTAGGGGTTTAGGGGCCTAAGGTTTACGGCTTAGCGTTTAGACCCTGGGCCTTAAAGCCCGAAGCACGGAACTCATCCCCCAAGCCCGAAAGTCTCTCTAGGAATATGGGCTGGAGGTTGATGATTAGAAGCTGATAGAAGGGCACCAAGGTTTAGGTGTTGGCTGGGGGGGGATTCCGGGTCTTGGGTTTTGTGCTTGAGATTTTGGGTTTAGGGTTTAGGGTTTAGGGTTTAGGGTTTAGGGTTTATTGGAGGTTAGGATATGGATATCGGGGTTGGGGCTTTGCATTCGTCATTGCTTGCTTACGTTGTCGGTTGGTGAAGTCTTCGCTGGTTCGTCCTACCCTCACCAAGTATTTCCCACAGGAGGTGCGCTGCGATGTGATTACTTTCAGCTCCCTTCTCAGTGCCTGCGTTTCTTGGCAGCAGAAATCTTTTCCGAGAACTTGGAACGAGGCTCAGGGTTCAGCTTGGGCTTAGCGGATTTAACAACTTAAGCTTCAAGCCTTCAACTTTAGCCCAAGCCCTAGACCCGTGGGACTTTTGCAGGAAATCCTGTAGAACCCCTTACAGGAAGTCAACAGAATGGGAACCCAGGAACCCTAAACCCTAAACCCTAAACCCTAAACCCTAAACCTTCTGTTCGTGAAGCTGAAATTGAGCCAGAACCCTAAAACGCCTTAGTGTTTATAGGGTTTAGGGTTTCTTCCAGCACTTACGGGTTTAGGGTTTCTTCCAGCACTTACCATGTCTAACCCTGTAAGCCCTGAGCATTCAACAGAAACCCGAAGCTTCAAACCAAATAGCCCGCCTCAACAGGAAAGGACCGTTCAAACATCCCGAATAGATCGGGTTTTTGGTTTAGGGTTGAGGGTCAACAAAAAGGGACCTGTAGTATAGGTCTCCTGCGCATCTCGAGGCCTGGCCCTCACCCCCAACTCACCGCTCCGGATATTGATCCTTGATACCACAATTATTTGGCCTGCTCTTCTGCCAGTTAGCAACCAATAGTAGCAATATACTGAAGATAAAGTGTACATGCATGTACATTGTGTACATATAAATATTTCGTTGATTGGTTTTATGGATTTATATATTCGTGTATTTTTGTATGATATGTATGAATCCGAGGAGCATTGTTACCTTTACCAAGGCGACTTATTTCAAACGGTTCGGGGTTTGGGGGGTTGTCGGTCCTTGTCAAGAAGAAACTACCGAAGAGACTCATTCAAGAAGCCGTGAGACTACGAATCCCAATGCTCACGAGCTTTTGAGCACTAGATCCCAAAAGGAGAAGTCCAGCCAGTGGAAGCAGGCCATGCTGGTCTTCTCATGGATGCTCGTCTTGCGTTGGTTTCAGAGTCTGTGATGGGTTCAAGGGTTCACTCATGTTCATGGTTCGGTGCTTATGGCTTTTTTTGCGTTGGTGTTACATGGGCGCTACTAGCAAAAACAAGTTCAATAATTTGCTATGCGAAGAATCATATTACAGACCCCCCCTTATAAGAACCTTCGCAAAAGCCCTAAAAGGCCCAACATTTCCAACCCTTGACTTTTAGAACCCCAGACAAGAAGCCCTAAAGACCCAAAGCCCTAAACCCTAAAACCCTGGATACCTTATATCCCTTCTAGCAACCCGAGCCAAAATCCCTAAAGCCTTAGAGCTTCACTGCAACATCCAGGATGAGTGACTCCGAGATCGAGCCTAACGTTGCCCCCTGCACGCGATATTCGTGGGTGGTTTCAGGTTTTGGAGGGGTTTCGGGATTTTGGGTTTAGGGTTCAAGCTTTAGGGTTTAGGGCTTGGGTTTTGGATTTGGGGCTTACATTTCAGGCTTTGGTTCGTACCCGTCTGGTATTTACCTGGTTCTACGGCTCTGAAACCCTTCAATCTGCACTGACACGTTCTACTTATAGGATCCTTAAGGGAGGGTGGCTCAAGGGGAGAGGGTCCGGTCCTAGGGAGCCTTAGGGAACCTAAGGGAGTACTAGGGATACCCCTAAGGATTCCACAATCTACGGCTCCCACCCCTACACCTCGCCGGGCTCTAGAGTTCCAATACATCTACGGCTCAGAACTCCTACACCCAGAGGCTCCCTTGGAGCTGCCCCATAGTAAGAGTACCACCGATAGTACTGCTGATGACATAAATCCTGCATTACCCATAAAGAGGAATTTTTACCATAATTCCCATAGTTTTGGGTCCTTAAGGTCATACAGGATTTATATCGTCAACAGTCGTAGCCATAGCAAGAAGGAGTATTTTCTCAGCATCATGATAATTTCTTTATCTACTTTCAAGGTTTCAGCGCTTGGGGTTCCCTAAACCCTAAACCCTAAACCCTAAACCCTAAACCGTGGCGGGGCTCTCGTGTGTACAGTCGTGTTTGGCTCATGGGCTTTCTTCCGTAGGTATTCCCAGAGGCTCCATGTACCTAAATAGTAGATACTTAGGCCGTAAAGTACCCATATAGGGACCCCTTTAAGGCCTAAGTATCTACTATTAAGGTACATGGAGCCTTTGGGATTGTAGGCCGTAGGATTTGATGGTGTCCTGGTGTTGGGGTGTTCGAGCACAGGCCGCATGTCAGATCCTAACCCGACAAATACGACCTTTATGGAACTCAGTCCCAAAATACCATCATTATTATGGTTTTGGGGTCCGAAACCCATAATAATAGCAGGAAAAATGACCCTCCTGGGAACGACGAAACTTCCAGCTCCTGACCTCTGCATCCCAAGCGAGGGCTAAGCGCGCAGGCCCGAGCCCCAAACCTACGGTCCAAGGGTTTAGGGTTTAAGGTTTTAGGGTTGAGGGTTTAAAGGTTTAGGGTTTGGGGTTTAGGGTTTAGGGCTTAGGTCCCGAATCCACAGACACTGACCCTGTAAGCCAAACCCTGAACCTAATACCTAATATAGGGGCTTTATTAATTCCCTACACTATGTTGGGGGGTTCCTTATCATAAATATAGTATAGTGGGCCCCGAAACCCTATTCTAATTATCAAAGCCCCTACATTAAGCCCCTTAACCCAAACTATCCTCAAGAACCCTAAACCCTAAACCCTAAACCCTAAACCCTAAACCCTATGATCTTGGGCCCAAAAGCCCCAAACCGGAATCTTGAGAGCTTCTAGGGTTTAGGGGTTCCCTAAACCCTAAAAAGAACCTACCTTTTTGGGGTTCCTTAGTATGAGTTCCATATATAAGTCCTTAAAAAGGTAGGTTATTTGGGGTTAAGGTAGGGGTTGGGGTTTAGTTTAGGGCTTAGGGTTTGGTGGTTAGGGTGTAGTTTAGGGTTTGGGTTGTCAGGGTTTGTGGTTTAGGTTTTGAGGTTTGGAGGAACTGGCATGCTACAGACCATTGTGGTACATGTACCTTCAGAGCACCACTATAGGAAAAGCTGTAATAGGGTATTCTTGGCATGCTGGCCGAAACCCTAAACCCGCAGCACTGAAGTGTAGGGCGGGCTTTAGGCTTCACGGCCAGAGGGTTCGGTTCGGGCATAGAAGTGGGAACTTTGTGAATTGCCTCATTGATGGTATGCTCTAATGAGAGAAGCACCCTTCAGCTCTCCGATACCGAACGTTTTCCAGGTACTTCTGACAGTCTGAAATCTGACCATACTGTAGTATTATATGGTTATAACATAAGCATATTCTAGCAGTACATTATTATAGTAGTATATGGTTACCTTCAAGCCTGCAGCAAGAAAGCGACCGCATGTTTCGTCAGGTGACCTACAGCGCGGCGATTAAAGCACTGGAGAAGCCCGGACACTGGACGATTGCTTTGGAATTCTTGGTCTCTCAGCGAGATTACAAGCACGTGTGTGTGTAATATAGGGGCCTTAAGACTTAAAAAAGGGTTTTGGGGTATATTGTACTATAACCATACTAAGGAACCCCCAAAACCCTATTCTAATTATTAAGGCCCCCCACATTATGTGTGTGTGTCTAGTGGGTTCGCCTGGACTGGGAAGTTCCTTGCTGTGCTAAGGCTAATGCTTCAGGTCCTTTAGGTAATGTAAGGGCCAAAATAACTACCTACACTATGTTGGGGGCTCCTTATTATAATTTTAGTATAATGGGCCCCAAAACCCCATTCTAATTATTAAGGTCCCTGTATTAGGGTTTCAGGTCCTTCTCGTAGCTTGGGTTACGAGCCAAACCGAAACCCTCCGGTTTCTGAGCGCGGGACAGCCTTCAGTTTGAAGTCATAGCTTCCCCATCACGGCTATCTCCGGTTTTCACCATAGTTATTTGCACTGGTGCCCTTTGTAGTCCCCATATGGTGATATTATACGCTATCCTCAAGCCTATTCTTGTTGAACCAGAGTCTCAGGTTAATAAGATTCCGGTTTGGGGCTGTGGAGAAGTTTGAGCTGCGCTTTTCGGAGTCTAACACAAAGCCAGACTTCTGCATCATAGACCGGAGTGCTGCCACTCTGTTTACATTCCCTAAAGCCCCAACCACCCCACGCTCCCCAACATAGAACATAACAAATAAACAAATAAACAATCTTCCCCAAATCTTTGAATCCCGCTCTGAGCCCCGAATCTTGACGCAGTTGCCGAGGCCTTCATGAGGACCAGCTCGGGGGATTAATTTGGCTCGGCCGGTTCAGCTGCGTCGGTTCTTGGGATTTGGGGTCCCGGAGATTTTCAAAACCCCTGAACCACGTTGTAGTGATTGAACCCTAAACCCTAAACCCTAAACCCCTGAACCCTAAACCCTAAACTTATTGAATCACGGTCAGGATCATAGTTTAAGGTATGTTTGTCAGTGAAGGAGACTTTCGGGTGCAGGGATTCATGATTATGCTACAGGGCTTCAAGATTCTCCGAGGGTTCCAGGCTTCACTTACCGGAGAGCGCTTCTTCATTGAGTGGGTTGAGGATTGTAAGAATATTCGGATGACCATGATATTTTGGCTCACATCATAGCCGAAAGTTGATATTTGCCTGCCTGCAGCATTGAGCTAGAGCGTCGGACGATTTCATTCCTTGGCCAGTAAGCCCTCACGGCGAAGCTCTGCACTGAACTCTCGTGGCATTTCTTCAATGTCAACAGTCCTTGTACAAGATAGCTGCGTCGTTCGTTTTCTTAGTGGGGTCAGAATAATAAACCTATACTATACTCCCATGATCTTTGGGCCCTCCCAGACACCAAACTCTCCGTTCCCGGGTCAGTTTCCTGGGCCCGGGACCTTGAGCATCTTAGCTGAAGATGCTCGAAGGACGGTCAGTATTGAGCCCAACACCATCACCTACAACTCCACCATCAGCGCGTGCGAAAAAGCAGGTGGGCGATGGGTTCAGAAGCACTGCCAGGCTCATGGTGACGCTGATGAGGATGATGGCGACGGTCGTGTGTATGATGACGATCATGGATCATGGTGCCGATCTTGGGACCATGATGGCGGCGATGACTATGTCTACGATTGTAACTATAGCGATGCTGGTGATGGTGATGATTTTCATGGTGTCATGGTGAGGATGGTGATGAGGAGGAGGAGGAGAGGCATGTGCCAAAACACAGCATTTCAAGCCAAGCAACATGGTATTGTCAATCAGAACGTCCGTCCCGGTGGAACGTCTAGCCTAGGGTTGTGCATGATTCAAGATCGCATAGCGCGAGGCCTTACGTCGTCAGCCCTTGACGGATGAAGCAAAGCTGCCAAGGTCATACATTCAATCCCTAAACTTATAGACCCTAAACCCTAAACTCTAGATTCAATAGGGAACATCCTAAACCCTCAACCCTGATGAACCACATGCGGTTCGAATCCCGAAGGCGAGTGGCTTCAGGCACTCTCCCTGTTGACCTCGTTGCAAGACCCTTGGTTTTAAGTAGAGAAGTGGCTGTTACTACCGTTCAGAGACTAAGCCCAGCAATTTCGATGTGGTTGTTTCTTGGCACGTTATAGCTGAATCGCTCTTGTTGTCTGTTGCATGAACCCAGAGGTTCCTCCCAGAAATCGAAACGGGATGTCTCCTGGGTTGCATGATTGAAGCTTGCGGTCTGGGGCTTGCAACTGAGTTTAATTTCCCTGCTGCGGAAGTGGCTTGGGATCCTGCTATAGTGTCTCGGGACCTTGGTCTCGACATTCATGTTCCAGACCCCTACGCACCAAACCCTACACCCTAAACCCTAAACCCTAAACCCCAAAAGCCTAAACCCACACTCTGGGTTTGCACTGTCAATGGCTCCAGATCTCCACGCAGCCGCCAGTGCAAAAGCACCTTATGTGAGCCTTATAAGGGTTTAGGGTTTAGGGTTTAGGGTTTAGGGTTTAGGGTATACTAGCACAGGGTTTTCGGGGGACACTGCTCGTAGTATATTTATGAAGGGACTTCAGGGGAACAATATGGACTTTACTGGCAGCCCAAAGTAGGTACTATTTACAGACTTTGGACCCCAAAGTAGGTACTATTTGTATACTTGGAGCCCAAGGGAATGGCTGGCTTGTTTCCCATCTGTCCGTCTGTTTGTCTGTCAATCTGTTTTGTCAGTGTTTGTTCTGTGTTGCTTGTGTTTGGTTTGTTTCCTGGATCGCTTGTGTGCACAGAGTTATCGTTTTTGGTTGATGTGTTATTTCGGTTCGTGGGTTTGTGTCTTCATGCCTGTGCTCGTTCGCTAGGGTTCAGAGTTTAGGGTTTAGGGTTTAGGGTTTAGGGTTTAGGGTTTAGCATGCGCGTGTGTGGAGAGATACCTCCCTTCCCAGTTGCGAAGAGTTGAGATCAGTAGGTGATGTCGGCAAAGGTAAACACAACCCTCTAAATAGCCCTAAGTACCAGTTCCTGCAGAACACCAAAACGTTGAGCCCCAGTAGATCCAAACACCCTTCAGCCCACAGGAAGTGCGATATACCTATTCCCTCTACCTTAAGGACGAAAAGAACCTTAAAAAGTAGGGGCTCTATACCCTTATACTATGAAACCCCATATGGTATATGAACCCTAAACCCTTTTAGGGCCCTTTTCGTCCTTAAGGTAAAACCCAGCATGCCTCTTTTGCCCAAGGACGACCGTCTGGAAGCCAACGTGATCTCCTTCAGCGCCGCCGTCAGTGCTTGCGAGAGCCTCGATAACAATTTCCCGGAGAACCTTAGGGTTTTGGGTTTAGGGTT